GACAACACAACACAACACAACACACACAGTGTCCCTCCACCCCAAACCCCCCCCCCTTCGGGCACCATCAGCAGCCGCTTGGTGGACATTTTCGCCAGGGTGTCCACGTCGGACCGGTCCGTCTCCTCGTGCACCTGGTGGTTGGGTTCGGAAGATTCTGAGGGTACCTTCCCCATTCTTTCCAGGGATCCTTCTTTCTATAAAATAAAACCTCCGGAAACCCAGGGAACACGGCTGGTGATTGAAAAGAAAAATGAGGGCGGAAAAGCCAGATCCTGGAGATTTCGGCGTCGTTTTGAGGGTCCTTTGTTGTCTCAAAAGGTGTAGCTTTCTTTTGGCTTTCCTTTCCATCCAACCAAAAGCTGCCCAAGAACACCTCTCTACTCTTGGTATGCTAGCAAAAAACTTTGTTTATTTGCAGACCCCCAGTAAAAATGAACAGAACCAAAAAAAAAAACATGCCAAGAACAGCGAAGAGGACCTGTCAGAAGCCTGAACACCTGGGCCGAATCCATGGAACCGGCGACAAAAAAAAACGCGCGCAAGCGGGCGTGCCATGGGCGTCATTTGGCTGTGGCGAATTCAAAAAACCGGAAAAATCCAAAATGGGTTGCCCTGGCAAGTGGAAACAAAAGCCAAAACCTGCGGTTGTTTTTCTCCTCCGATCGTTTAATTTGAGCCACCCCCATTTGTTTGAACCGTTTGGCTAAGGCAAACCACGTTTGACCTTCCCCGACCTTCGTATGTTTGTGTTCGTATGTTTGTGTTCGTCTGACGAACCAAACCGAAATCCATGGAAGGGCATACCCCAGGAGACAAACTCGGCGTGCTAGAATTGGGGAAGGGGGGACAAATTTCCTTTCAATGGTCGGAGGTGATCTGTGTTTGCAGACCTTGCTCCCTGTCCGGGAAGTAATCGTAATCTGGAGCGTCAGAGTCCCACTAATCATGCTCAAACGCAAGCCTGTCTTCACAGACCATGCCATTGGCAATGACTGCATCCGTGATAACAGCGTGCAGTGTTGCCCTAATACATGTGAGAAGCTTGTTTGACGCCGATTGGTTCAGCTGCTCCATCCGGTGGACACCAACTCTGACATGCCAAATAGATTGGTTGGGCAGACGCACAGCAACCAGAGACGCGTTGCAGCCCCCGGCGCAACCGAAAGGGGTCCTACGGGCCCAACGTTGACCTCGGATTCAAAAACCTTGCGGGGTGGCCTCCAAAAGTGAGCAATTCGAGAACAAAAAACAAAAAAAAATGTATTTTCAGGTTGGTTGGTGAGGATCATGGGGTCGATCTCGGCCCGCATGGGCTCCGGAGTGCCCGACCAACCAATAACAAAGAGACCAGCCATGGAATGCCCTAGAACGATCCACGGACTGTTTGGTTCTACCTGGTGGCTATAGGCCCTCGCCCTCTAAACACTGAAAGCATCTAAGAGCCTAAGTTGACCCGGACGATTCGCTGGTTCCGCACCGCCAAGTCAAGTGGCCCACAGCGGCGCTCAAAAAAAAAAGCCTCCCCGCCTCGACAGCGCCCAAGCCCAGGCAGTTCTTCAGCTCATTCCCCGAGTGCCCCGACGCCGCCTTCCGATGCGTCGAATTTGTTGGTTCGGCAGGAAACGGCGAGGTGGGCCAACGTGAAAGTGCTGTAAAGGGGGGGGTGGGGGGGGAAACGGACATGACATGAGCTTCATCTGTTTATGAGAAAAATATAGATCTGTGTCTGTCCTTGTATCTCTATGTATCTCTTCGTCATTTTTGTTGGAGCATTTCGGAGAGAGGGGGTTTACATATGCTTCAGAATTGGCGCCCTGATCTGCGGTCAAGGCCCCCGTTCTTCCATTCGTCCCTGTCACCTTTTCCCTCAATTGGCGGCAGTCCCCGCCAGTCACCGATGGGAAAAGAGAAACATAGAGGTTCCTGAACCTCGCCTGCCACGGACATGGAAATACATGTGTGTGTGTGTGTTGTTGTTTTTTGGGGGGCGGTGGCCCCCTTTTTGGTTTTGGTTTATATTTGGAGAGCGAAGGAAACCCTTGGCATGTTGGTGTTCCATTTTCTCATGAAGCAAACCCAAATCGCGATCACGATCTTGAATCAAAACGCCAAGCAGTACAACGAGATGTGAAAGAACTCCTTGGGTCCGGAAATTTTGAAGCCTTCACCCTCCTGACCTTCTGGTTGCAGGCCGTAGCCCCCACAAAACAAGGGTACCACACTTGTCTGGTTCCAGAGGGGTTTCCTTGCTGGTTTCGCCTCACAACCCCTAGGAGCCTCAAAAACGAGGGTTGAAGAGGCATGAAGTGGGGCCAGGTGTTGTTTCGCCTACCTTTCTCTGCCGTTGTTTTTGCGTGAAATCCAAAAGACACGACTGCTTTGTTTCATATCAACAACTGCCAGGCTGTAGTGTTGTAGACCTGTGGGTTGTGGCATGGTTTCCCTCAAGCAATGCCATTCGACGTAGCTGAGATATTCATCTGACCCTTTCTGGGACCACCAAACACGGGGTGATGCGTTCGCATGAATCCGGAGCACCAGCCCTTTTGGTGGGCGCACAAAGGGCGCGTATTAGTATGGCCTGGAGAAATGTCCGGAGTTAACATGGGCAAGCACCCAAGAACCTCGCATTCTCAAGTTTGTAGAAGCATACATAAGTGTTTCTCAAGATTGTGGACCCCCTTTTGGTTGGCAACTCACAATTGCGGACCCCCTTTTGGGTGGTAAAGAGAAACCCAAAAGGAAACCAATTTAGGAGACCATTTTGAGAAACCCACGTGGAGTCCTGACAATTCCCCGGAACACAATCCGGGCCAAAGCTTCTGTCTACGGCACGACGGCCAACGAGCCGTTGCCTCAAGTTCGACGTTTGGTTTGGTTTGCAAGTTTCCGTCCAAAGGTCTTGCAGCCTCCTGCGCCTGACAAAATGAGAACCCAAAATGGGGTCCGCTCAACTGGTTCATGCCCCCCATGTTTTAAGGTCTTGAAGCCTCCTGCGCCCGACAAAATGAGAACCCAAAATGGGGTCCGCTCAACTGATTCATGCCCCCCATGTTTTAAGGTCTTGAAGCCTCCTGCGCCCGGCAAAATGAGAACCCCAAATGGGGTCCGCTCAACTGATTCATGCCCCCCATGTTTTAAGGTCTTGAAGCCTCCTGCGCCCGACAAAATGAGAACCCAAAATGGGGTCCGCTCAACTGGTTCATGCCCCCCATGTTTTAAGGTCTTGAAGCCTCCTGCGCCCGACAAAATGAGAACCCAAAATGGGGTTTGCTCAACTGATTCATGCCCCCCATGTTTTAAGGTCTTGAAGCCTCCTGCGCCCGACAAAATGAGAACCCGACAAATGGGGTCCACTCAACCGGTTCATGCCCCCCATGTCTTAAGGTCTGACGACTCCTGAGCCTGAAAAAACGGGGCCCTGAAACTACCCAATTTTTTGGGGGTCACCCCATTCTAAACATGGGGCCGGAAAAAAAGAAAAAACACCTCCAGTGGCTCATGCCCATTTCAAACATGGGGTCAAGGTCCCTGCAAGGGAGGTGTAGGTGTGGGGGGGAGGTGCCTCCTGAAATGTACATATATGGCTGTGGGTCAAATTGATGTACCCAAAATGGGTTGCCCTGCCCTGCCCTGCCCTAAAACCTCTCCCCTGGTGGTTTCATTTCGACCCATACCCATATCCATTTTCAAAATTAAACCACCCGGGGACCACGGGTGTACTCCATGCTTCCATTTACCAGGGCAACCCATTTTGGGGTCACCCTATTTTTGACCCTATATCGACTCCTTTGACCCTATCTTTGACCCTATTTTGGGGTCACCCCCCATCTCCCTTTCGGCTCTTCACCCCATATCGACTCCTTTGACCATGACGCCCGTTTCGGGCGCCTGTGACTGCGCCGACGCCCAGGAGCCCAGCATCGCGCTCCGCGGGCCCCCGGGGGAAGCCGCTGGTCTCAAAAGCCGCTGGGAAGGGGCGAGTCGCATGCGCTCGCGTTTCAGATCCATCTGGCGAGTCTCATACGCCAGTGCTTTCCCATAGTAAGCCACCAAGGAAACGATCGTACAACCTAGAGGTCAGGAACCCTTGCTACCTTCTATCAGCTTCCCTCTCATTGGCGGTTTTGTGGTTTGGTCAGGGATGGGTTCCCATTTACCCGAAGAACCAGGGGCCCGGTCAAATCCATACAACCTGTATGACTCTATGACAATCCGAATCCAAACCAGCAGTTGCAGGGAAACCTGATACCCGAAAAGTGTCAAACAAGAGCCTATATGATATATGTGCTTTTGTTTTGCAGCGAGCAGCTTCATAAAGTCCAGGGAGTAGGATTCATAAACAAAGATCCGCCCCTGGCGTGTCAGTGGGCCCAAAATAGCAAGCCGACATGAGTTACCCGTTTAGGGCTAGCGAGAGACGTTGATCCTGCGTCGTTTCACCGGTTCGCAGTTCTCTTGAGAAAATTACTTCACAATGCCCGGCCCATGTTTGCCAAGTTTCTGAAACTCGATGCCTATAAAGATTCCCAAAAACACAAGGGAGAAACCCATGACACTTGGAGTGAGTGCGCTGTTCAGGCGATATGAGGTCTTCTGCCATGAACAACATCGTCGAGGGTATGGGCCTGCCGTGTTTTGAGGATACCCTTCGCGGGATTGGTGCAAGCAATGGGGGGGTCCACCATTCAGGGCGGCTCCCCTCATCCTAATCTGTAATCCCTAGTGGGGCTCTGCAACAAGTAGATCCACTACCATCTGGCACATATACCCAGTGCTTTAGCATTCTAGCAAGCGACCAAGGAATTGATCCAAGTAAACCTAGAGGTCAGGAACCCATGTTGCCTACTACTGTGTAAGCTTCCCTCGTGATTTGTGGTTTGCTGTTGTGGGATTGTTTCCCATTTACCCGAACCAGAATTAATTGTTGAAACTTATACAACTATTACTCGAAGCCAACAATTAGGGGGAATTAGGTCAGGCAACAAGCTCTTTTTCTGGTCTGTCCGTCAGGTTCGGCCGCTTCGGCTCGGCGGATGGCGTGGTTGCGCCGATCTGTGCGAAGCTCCTCGTTGTGGCGGTCGTCTCATGACCTGGCAAAGGCCGTCAGCTTCCAGGGCCAGGTGGGACATGGGCGGTCCCTCAGATCACCCAAAAGTTGTTCACTTTTGGTGGCATCATGGCGCAGGCCGACGTTAGGCGGACTGGGCAAACAATGTCTTGTTTCAAGGTAACACAATATTTCTAGCTGTAATTCGAATGCACCTTGCAATGTACTTCCCCACTTGTTCCAATATGTTTCTGCAGAACACCAAAAAGGTGCTTTTAAAGGCAAATGGGAACCAAACATTTGCTTAAGTAAACGGCGAGCGAGATTTTGGTGCAGGGGCGTGTTGCTCAATGTGTGTTTGTGCATGTTGTTTGGTCCCGCCGAATGTAGTAACATGCTGTGTTGTATGAAGTAATGGACAAGCAAGAGAACCCACAGGCCCTTCTACCATGATTTGCTGGATTCGGCCAGGTTCCATGCATGGCAACGCAGACAGGACCCCCCCGCCTCTCGCTGCAAGCGGCAATCGGAACTCGGCGACTCGGCGAATCGCCGCGCAGCGGTCATCGCGGCAAGCGGCGCCTCGGAGTTCAGAGACCGCCAGGCGAACGCGCGCACGCGCTTCACTTGGCCGGAAAAGGGAAAACCCCCCCAAAAAAAACCGCGCCCGTTTTTTTGGCAGTAGCTGGCTTCAAGGGGAAATTCCCCCCCCTTGCATTTGCTTGAGGTGCTCGGAAAAAAGAGACATGGATTTTCAGTAGTGACAGATTCCTTTTTGAAACCAACAATAGGCAATCTTCATTTCAGCAAATGGAAGCCTCCAACAAAAGAAAAGGGAAACAATGGCACTGGGTGTCTGAGGGCGTGAGCCCCGTTGGGCACAATCCAAATGGATCCTGGCACGTTTCAAAGGAAGCCATAGTGCTGCGGGTCATCCTCGTTGTTCTGTCGAGTGGTGCTCTTCTTCATTTCATGCCTTTTGGCTTACCCTCCTACAAAAGCACGTCTCACGTTCCACTTCGCGTTTGGCCCTCTGAGTCCTCCGAATGCAAAGTGCATCAGCCAAGCCGACCCAGACTTAGGGTCAGAGGGTCCAACAACAGATGGCAAGCGCAGGACAACACACACACACACACACGCAAACAAACAACCAATCAATCAAAGGAACACGGAAACACAGAACCAAATATTTAGAGGCAAATTAGCAAGCAAGCAAATAGGTACATCAACAAACTTCCACACGAACGAACGAATAAACGAACAAACACACAAGCCAAACAGCCCAGCCAAACAAACAACTAAGCAGGCAAGCAACAGGCAACCAAGCAAGCCAACGAACACACAAAGACCAACAAAAAGAAAGAAAGAAACAAAGAGAGAGAGAAATAAAGGCAGGAAAAACAAAAAACAAACAATTTAGTTTTGCCTCTAAATAGGCGAACCCCCAAGCCAGTGCTTATCCTTCATTTCCGTTCAAAAACAACCCAAAGCAGGGTTCTCTCAAAAACAACACCCCCACTTCTGGTCGATGTTTTGTTGGGATCTCTCCTTAAAATAGCGAGGTGTCTATGGGCACCCGTTCCCAACAAATGGGAGTTCCCCCAAAAAATGTGTTTTGGCTTCCTTTTGGTTTCCCTTCAACTCACTTCCAGAGTGGACTGGCCAAAAAGCCACAGCATCGTTTCTTTGCCACATTTTCCGCGCTCACCCAAAAAGTGACTAAAGTCTGATGAGTGACAAATCTCCGTCCTCCCACAAATGCGAGCATTTCTGGGCGGCGACCTGGAAGATTCCAATTTATTCAGGGATCTTATTTGAGGTGCCATGGCAACCTGGCAGCTGGAGGGTATCTGCCAAAAAGCCTCCTGAAACCCCCCGGTCCGGTGAGCCCGATGAGCCGATGGCGAGCTGAGGTTCCGCGCATGGTGACCAGCAAGCGGCCCAGGCCGCCGCTCAGCACTTGCAGCGAGGCGCCCAGAAGCCTCGCTTCCAAGTTTTCGGAGCGAATCACAAGCTGACCCTCGAGGGAACGGCCAATAAACACAGCGGCTGTTTGGTTTAAGGCTCAGCGTCCCTAACCAAAGGTTTATATAAACCTATACTATAAACACAATAAGACCAGGTAGACGTTTGCGCCACTAAGCTGATTATAATGATTTATATAAACCTATATACTATCAACACAATAAGACCAGACCTTTGGTTCTAAGCAGGCAAAAATCGGAAAATCCAAACTGGCGCTTTTCCTGTTGGTTTAACCAAGGTAGAAGGTCAGCCTCAAGAAAGCAAGACACACACAATTTGGGGACTTTGGACTCTAAGGGACCTTTGGACATTTGGGGATTTATGTTCAACTGCTCAGGTTGAAACTTACCATGTCCAATTTGTCTGGCCTCAAGAAAAACTCATATTTTGACTGGGCAGGTGGTAAAAGCAGCGGGGAACACCCCCCCACCAAAAACACACACACACACACACACACACACCAGGTTTGTTGACCGGGAGCCACTAGGGAATCCAAAGAGAAACATGCGAAAAAAAACGTCAGCGACGTAGGCCGACTACAAAACCAATTGCGCTGTGCTTTCTTTGAGGAGCACACTGCACTGGTGAAGAAGCACGGTTTCGGTTTAAACAAAAATGGGAAAACGCTAGAGCTGCGCTGGGAAATTTTGAAGCATTGGCAGCTCTCGCCGCGCAAAAGCACTCCATCGCAATGAACTAGGGTTCGCCGGACTCAAAAGTGCCCATCAACTCGGTGCTCAGAAATCTCCCAAAAGAGGCCTCCGTTTTTTGGCCGACTCCGAATCTGCTGAATCCCTGATGGCGGAAGCCCGTGCAAGTCATCCCCTCGAACATGGACACACACCGAGCCCTCGTGGCCCACACCTCGAGTCTCGAGTCCCGCGGGGCTTTCCGAATCGGGGGGACGCGGAAAGCCAAGGATTTCCAAACCCAGACCGGTGGCAGCAAAAAAAGAAGAAGGAAGGCGCGGCCTCGGGTGTTGCGAATTCTATCTGGGTTGCTGTTGACACCTCCAGAAATGTTTCACTTGGTCCATGCAGGTCCAACCCATCCAGGTCCGAGGCAACAGCCCGAGCTGAAGTACCGAGTGGACTTCTCGGCGCGAATCCGACCGAGTCCGCGGGGATCCCTTTGGTTCCCCCGGCTCCAGGTCTGCATGCCGCGGGATGAAGTCCACATAGCCTCGGAGGCCGGAGGCTCCCCGGGCGATTCCCACGGATTTCGGTCGGGGGGGGGGGGGGAATTTGGGGGGCTGGGGGGGTCCAACTTTCCGGACAGGCGCCTTTCCTTGGTCCTCTTCATTGAGGGTTGGCCATGGAACTGGGACTTGAAGGCAAAGGCGAATCCGCTTCCGGAGCGGGCCGTTTGAGAAAGCTTGCTTTCCCGGTTGATTCCGGGAAGGGAATCCCTCAGTGACCCGGACTGCCAAGCCTCAAGGAACACCCACAAGACTGGCCAAATGGGTTGCAACCGAAGAAAAGAGGCATCACCCCAGCCTGGCTGCCGGTCAGAAGCCAGTCCGAGCAGGAGTTCAAACGTGATGCAAGTGTTAGGCTGACATGTGGACCCTGGGTTCCGCTCATCGGATTGCTCGTGCAACCGGAACCCTTGATTTAACAAGACCCCATACTTGCCGGTGAAACGCGGAATGCTCTTGTGACTCTTGTGACAACTAGGGGATTCGGAGCCTGTTCAAGAAAATGCGAGTTTCGTCTGTTACGGCTCCTCTGCTGTGATTCAGGTGCTCATGTTGGGCTCTTTGTCTCCCATAGCCCGGGCTCAGCCCCGCACGTGCTTCATCCAGGAGCAAGGGATCGCGCGTGGTCTCTGAGATGCAAAGCCTTGCCATCGAATACGACCAAGTCCAACATCTGGTCCGGGTTGTTTTTCGATCTTGTTGCTTGGTTGCTTGGTTGGTTGGTTGGTTGCGGCTGGCTGGGTGGCTGGCTGGCTGGCTGGTTGGTTGGTTGGTTGGTTGGTTGGTTGGCTTGCTGGTTGGCTGGTTGGCTGGTTGGTTGGTTGGTTGGCTGGCTGGCTGGTTGGTTGGTTGGTTGGCTGGCTGGTTGGCTGGCTGGCTGGCTGGTTGGTTGGTTGGTTGGCTTGCTGGTTGGCTGGTTGGCTGGTTGGCTGGTTGGTTGGTTGGCTGGCTGGCTGGTTGGTTGGTTGGCTGGCTGGTTGGTTGGTTGGTTGGTTGGTTGTGGTTGGCTGGTCTGGTTGGTTGGTTGGTTGGTTGGTTGGTTGGCTGGCTGGCTGGCTGGCTGGTTGGTTGGTTGGTTGGTTGGTTGGTTGGCTTGCTGGTTTGCTGGTTGGCTGGTTGGTTGGTTGGTTGGCTGGCTGGCTGGTTGGTTGGTTGGTTGGCTGGCTGGTTGGCTGGCTGGCTGGCTGGGTGGCTGGCTGGTTGGTTGGTTGGTTGGTTGGCTTGCTGGTTGGCTGGTTGGCTGGTTGGTTGGTTGGTTGGCTGGCTGGTTGGTTGGTTGGTTGGCTTGCTGGTTGGCTGGTTGGCTGGTTGGTTGGTTGGTTGGCTGGCTGGCTGGTTGGTTGGTTGGTTGGCTGGCTGGTTGGCTGGCTGGCTGGCTGGCTGGCTGGTTGGTTGGTTGGTTGGTTGATTGTGGTTGGCTGGTCTGGCTGGTCTGGTTGGTTGGTTGGTTGGTTGGTTGGCTGGCTGGCTGGCTGGCTGGCTGGCTGGCTGGCTGGCTGGCTGGCTGGCTGGCTGGCTGGCTGGCTGGCTGGCTGGCTCAAAGACGGCGTGACAGTACCAGAGTGCCCAAACAACAACTCCAATTTCGATCCCCGCTTACAAGGGACCAAAGTCTGAAGTTATTGCGAATTGTCGCAAGCAAAACTGTGTCTGTCAGTGTCCAAAGCTATGCGCCCGCTCCTTTTGATTTTGGCCGAGCCAAACCCACCATCCCAGTGAAACCAAGGATGTCTGTTCCGGGTACTGTGCTGCTAGATATGAGATTGCGTACAGCCAACAGCAAAGTCAAGGGAAAAAGGTAAACGTCTTCTATAGGAACCAGTGTAGTCTTCAACTGAGGTTCCAACTAGCATGACGCCCGTGATCGGGGCTGGGCGACGCCACTCCGTGCTTCAACTGGGTTGATCAAACTGACTCTCAACAAGTGAACCTGTTTGCTGGTTGGTGCTTGGTGATAGTCATCGTCCCCAACAAATGGAAGCGGGTTGGAAATAGTCATTCACCAAATGAAAGGTTATGTTTGTTCCGTGGCGGCTAAGAAGAATCAAGACATATGATTCGAAAGGGGCACCCTCAAGACAGGACCCAGGGCACAGGTGCCGCGGCTCAGGGCTCAACCATTGCCACCTGAGCAACCCCGGACTTTCTTTGGGCTGTTCTGGCCGCAAAGTCCGGGTGGGCAAAAGGCAAACTCCCCCAGTTACTCTACAGCAACAGTCAAAATCATGGAGCAACCAGTGGGCAACCAGTTTGCAGGGCTTCCACATTTCCACACCAAAAGGAAACTCATTTTCTGAGTCGGCAACCGACAGGTGATGCTTCAAGCTCCACCACTTGGCTTGGCCCCAAAGCTGGATCCCTGTTTTGCGATCCCCGCCTGGGATCCTTCTTCCGCCCCGACTTGGGGTGGCAGATGTCGTGCAGGTTGGGCCTGCTCAAACGCCCAAAGGCTCGCAACCTTCAAAAACCCAACAATGACTGTTCTACCCCAAGAAACCCACTATTTGAAGGGTATCGACCCTGCATACTGGCCTAAACAAAAATATTTAAGTGTATACTAGGGCTCCAGTGGTGGGGGAAATGGGCACCATCTCCAAACTTTGGGCCATCGAATCTATCCCACTTCTCCCACTTAGAAGCTTGTGGAGGTCACCCCGAAGAAGACCAACGCCTCCAGTCAGGTTCCATGGGAGTCCGTGGGAGGTTGCATGTTACCAATCGCACCCAAAGCCACACACACCGACACCGCCATGGGTTCAGCTGTGGGCTGGTGAGATGCTGTGCGCGGGGCCGCCGAAAAAAAAAACAAAAAGCCGGCGGCCTCTCCTTTGGGCGCTTCCACACGGGACACCCAATGGTTCCTTTCCAAGGGCTCGAAATTGGGTCCCGCCCCGCTTTTACCGGGTCTAAGGGAGGCGGAAGCCACGGCTCAAAACGGGTTTCTGGAGGTCTGGCGACTCCTAGGCTGTTCAACATGGGGTTGGCCAATCCGATTTCCACAATCCCTACATGGCAAACCACTGCACAGGCTTGCCGACCCCCTGCGTTGTGCAAAGGGATTGTCTTGGGGATTGCCTTTGGACAGCCTGCTTCTTTTCTTTTACTCAAATCATCTGATCTTCCCAAAACAATTCGCAAGTCCAGAACCTGGGGCATGTGAACATCGCAAGTCCAGGGGCCTCTGAGCAAAAGGACCTCAGAAAGCACCCGGTTGCTCGCACCACTTGAACCCATCCATGTCGCAACTGCACCCATACAGGAGATCATCTGTAGCTTTGAAGCAGCTCCCTCAGGTCAACCTCGGAGGAATCCGGACCCTAAATAATATAAAAGACTTTTCTCGAAGATCGAATTCCCTAGGACCAAGATAATTCCAAATTCTCGGAAACTTGTGAAACAAACATTGTTCCCCAACCTGAAAGCTTTGGGGTCTCGGTCCAGATAGGCTCCGGGGTGGTCCGGGGCGGCCCGGAGGTAAGGTTCCACGAGGGTTCAGGGTTCCACGAGGGTTCCACAAGGTTCTGCGAAGACTGCGGGGTGGTGCGAGCACTAAAAGAGCACCGCAGGCTGTTGGGGATATCACTTGCAGCTTATTTTTTCGAAACAAAACAAAAAAGCCAACACATTCCACCGGACCTCCAGTCCCAACCGCGGACCGGGCGGGAGCGGCGCGCCTGGACCCATCCTCCACGCCCTGCTCCGCCGCCGCACGGTCGATGCCCAGGAAATCCGCCAGGTCCACCGGCACCTCGTTTGCCGCGTTTGCCTCAACCTTCTGGAAGATGTTTACCGCCCAGGTGGTAGGTTTAGGGTTTAGGGTTCAGGGTTTAGGGTTTGGGTTTGGGGTTTAGGGTTTAGAGTTTCCAAGATGAAGCGCGCCCTCGACCCTGGGGGTCGTGGGGGCGCGCGGCGAAAGCGGCATCCCCACCCCTTGACCACCCACAGCTAAAACCTTTTAGGGTTTAGGGTTCGCAGAAACCCGGCCCGGGCGCGTCACGTGCCATTTTTTGCGATGTGAAGACTCGTCGAAGGTTTGGGCTTGGGTCTGGCCCGTCGGGCTGCCCGAAAGCTCCCGTCGTTTTGACGCTGGGGTCGGGCCCGTCGGGCTTCCCGAGAAAACTTTCTGGGCGACGGCCGAAGCTTCCGCGACAGCCTCGGAGGGGGCGCGTCGCTCGCGCTCGCTGCCGTAATTTTGGCGCTGGGAGCTGGCCCGTCGGGCTTCCCGAAACAACTTTCCGGGCGACGGCCGAAGCTTCCGCGACAGCCATGGCAAACGCCGTCGCACGCGCACGCTCCGTTATTTTGGCGCTGGGGGCTGGCCCGTCGGGCTTCCCGAAACAATTTTCCGGGCGACGGCTAAAGCTTCTGCGACAGCCTTCCTCGCGCTCGCTTCCGTTGTTTTGGCGCTGGGGGGTGGCCCGACGGGCTTCCCGAAATAAGTTTCCGAACGATGCAAAGCGGGGATCTTGGACGCCGACAGCCATGGCAAACCCGCGCCGTCGCACGCGCGCGCTCCGTTATTTTGGCGCTGGGGTCTGGCCCGTCGGGCTTCCCGAAACAATTTTCCGGGCGAAGCTTCCGCGACAGCCATGGCAAACCCGCGCCGTCGCTCGCGCACGCTCCGTTATTTTGGCGCTGGGGGGCTGGCCCGACGGGCTTCCCGAAACAAATTTCCGAGCGATGCAAAGCGGGGGGATCTTGGAGGTCGCTGTGGCATATGCGGCCCAAAGCCTATGTCGCAACACGGGCGGCCCAGATTATCAAGGGCGAGGACCAGGCCAGTGGCCGCAATGGCCGTTTTATCAACCAGAAGCGGACAAATGGCCAGATCTCTAGCTTCGGGCCCCGTACAAGCAGTTTATCAGCGGCCAGGCCGAGCCATTTTTAGGAAGGGCTGGCAAAGCAATTTGCAACTTTATCAAGGCCCGCCAGCCGCAGTGGCCTTTTTAGCAAAGCCGATTGCCGTTTTATCAAGTTTTATCAACAATGGCCGCTTTACCAAGGTCGAGGACCAGGCCAGTGGCCGCAATGGCCGTTTTATCAATCAGAAGCGGCCAAATGGCCAGATCTCTTAGATCCGGGCTGCGATTTCATATTGCCACGTCTAAGGAACTTATCAGCGGCCAAGCCGAGCCAGTTCTATTAAGGGCAAAGCGATTGGCCGCTTCATGAAGGCCAGCCGCAGTGGCCGTTTTTATTGAAGCCGATTGCCCAGTGGCCGCAATGACCGTTTTATCACCAAGAAGCGGCCGCGTGGCCAATTTCCTATTGTCCCGTACAAGCAGCTTATCAACGGCCAAATCGAGCCATTTTTAGAAAAAGCTGGCGAGACCAGCCAGCCGCAGTGGCCGCTTTATCAAGGCCGGACCAGGCCAATGGCCGCAATGGCCGCTTTATCAACTAGGAGCGGCTACATGGCCAGATCTCTGGATTTGGGCTGCGGATGGCCGATTTCCTATTGTCCCCGTACAAGCAGTTTATCAACGGCCAGGTCGAGCCATTTTTAAAACTAGAGGACGAGTGGCCCGGAAGCATGGAGGCAAGTTAGTTGTTAGCGATCAAGTAGTCTAGTCGCGACAAGCTGCACACAGACAGATTCCGCTTTTTGTCAGTAGCTCGAATATGGTCCTAAAAGTTGAGGAATTTCATGCACTTCTCAGTGCAGGTTCTCCCTGCTCATCGCGATCTTGCCCACCATCATGTCGCGCGTGTAGATCGAGTGGCTCGGCATGTGGATCTCGATGATGCATACCATGCTTCGGGCGGCTCCAACATGAACAAACAGGCAGCAAGCAAACTACCGCGATGTTGATTAGCGCTAGCTTGAACCAACCACCAGGCGCGTGGTGCGGAAGGCGAGGCGGGGGAGAACCAACACCTGAGGCACCGTGGAGAAACCACCACCACCTGGGCGAAGCGAAACTGGAGCGAAGCTCCTGGACATGCAGGCAACTTACAAATGCAAATGCAGAAGTGTGGCACGGAGGTTGTTCAATCTGCTGATGTTGTCCGGCTTCACTCGGCTTCCCTTGGCTTCACTCGAGTGCAACAGCGTGCAGGCAGCACAACTGCTCAAGCATGTTATGTAGGTTGTTCAATCTGCTGATGTTGTCTGGCTTCACTCGGCTTCCCTCGGCTTCACTCGACAGGCAAACGTGGAGTCCACACTAAGCGCTCAAGCATGTCACGCAGGCTGCTCAATGTGCTGATGTTTTCAAAGTGGCAGCATCGAGGAAGATCGCAAAAGTTGCGATTTGCCAGCCGGAGCTGCAGGAGCACGCTCCGCGTACTACGTTTGTACTTAAAAGCTGCGATTTTCAAGCCGGAGCTGCCGCGGACCAGGGGGGAATCGAACCCGGGACCGCGGGATTGCGAAAGCATGCGCGCACACCACGAGACAACTTCCAAAAGCCGTTTCGCGAGCAAGAAAATCGCACGGGCTTCTCGTTTCTCTGTTGCAACTCAATCTGGTCTGCGTCTGCAGGACTGCACCGCGATTCTGAGTTCTTTCTTCTTTTTCCGGCGGAGCTGGGGAGACGCTCTCCGCGCCGAGATAGGTCCGCAAGTGCTTTGTGCAAGTGCTCTGTGCAAGTTGCTCTGCGCAAGTTGCTCTGCGCAAGTTGCTCTGAGCAAGTGCTGCCGGAGCTGTGGGAATGTACTTCGCGTACTATTTTTTTGTACTTAAAAGTTGTGATTTTCCAGCCGGAGCTGCGGGAGCACGCTCCGCATACTACGTCTGTACTTAAAAGTTGCGATTTGCCAGCCGGAGCTGCAGGAGCACGCTCCGCGTACTACGTCTGTACTTAAAAGTTGCGATTTGCCAGCCGGAGCTGCAGGAGCCCGCTCCGCGTACTACGTTTGTACTTAAAAGCTGCGATTTACCAGCCGGGAGCTGCCGATGAGCACGCTCCCGCGTACTACGTTTGATACTTAACGGAAATGCAGAAAAATGGCAGGAGAGAAAAGATAATAAAAAACCCAAGTGGAAAGGGAAATGAACACAGAAAAAGACAAAAATACGGTGAATTCTAAAAAAGATTAAAGAAGCAGACTAGCAGAAACAATTACAAAAAAGCTGCGATTTTCAGTCGGTGGCAGGGGGCCCCCGGAGCGCAAGCCGCGGACCAGGGGGGAATCGAACCCGGGACCGGCGGATAGCGAAAGCAGAAGCGCGCACACCACGTGAGACAACTTCCAAAAAGCCTGTTTCGCGAGTCAAAGAAAAAGGGACAAAAAAAAAGAAGAACAAAAAATCGCACGGCGCCACAGCGAGAGCGATCCGACACGCACGATCCCCGCAGAGGGTTCATCGGGCTCAAGACAACTTCGCACGGCGCCACAGCGAGAGCGCTTCGACACGCAGGATCTCCGCAGAGGGTTCGCCAAGGTCAAGACAAATTCGCACGGCGCCACAGCGAGAGCGCTTCGACACGCACGATCTCCGCAGAGGGTTCGCCAAGGTCAAGACAAATTCGCACGGCGCCACAGCGAGAGCGCTTCGACACGCACGATCTCCGCAGAGGGTTCGCCAAGGTCAAGACAAATTCGCACGGCGCCACAGCGAGAGCGCTTCGACACGCACGATCTCCGCAGAGGGTTCGCCGCGCTCAAGACAAATTCGCACGGCGCCACAGCGAGAGCGCTTCGACACGCACGATCTCCGCAGAGGGTTCATCGGGCTCAAGACAAATTCGCACGGCGCCACAGCGAGAGCGCTTCGACACGCACGATCTCCGCAGAGGGTTCGCCTCGCTCAAGACAAATTCGCACGGCGCCACAGCGAGAGCGCTTCGACACGCACGATCTCCGCAGAGGGTTCGCCAAGGTCAAGACAAATTCGCACGGCGCCACAGCGAGAGCGCTTCGACACGCACGATCTCCGCAGAGGGGTGCGTTTCGTAAGCTCCCGTCGGGCCTACCCCCGCCATAAAAAGAAGAAGAATTAAGAGTCGAGATGTGAAGGTAGAACAGAAAAGTTAGCTTGTGTTTTTAGGATAGTGAAGTAACACCCGACAAATTAGCTTGTGCTTTTAGTAGAATGAGATAACAGCCGAAAAGTTGACATGAGAAGTTGGCAGGTGAAGTAACTCTCAAAAAGTTGACATGAGAAGTAGGCAGGTGAAGTAACTCTCGACAAGTTGGCATGAGAAGTTGGCAGGTGAAGTAACTCTCGACAAGTTGGCATGAGAAGTTGGCAGGTGAAGTAACTCTCGACAAGTTGGCATGAGAAGTTGGCAGGTGAAGTAACTCTCGACAAGTTGGCATGAGAAGTTGGCAGGTGAAGTAACTCTCGACAAGTTAGCATGAGAAGTTGGCAGGTGAAGTAACTCTCGACAAGTTGGCATGAGAAGTTGGCAGGTGAAGTAACTCTCGACAAGTTGGCATGAGAAGTTGGCAGGTGAAGTAACTCTCGACAAGTTGGCATGAGAAGTTGGCAGGTGAAGTTGGCAGCCGCTTTTAGAAGAAGAACCCTTCGCAATGCTTCCGGGAAAAAGCTGGCGAAGCGAGTGTTCGCTTTATCAGACCGGCCAGCCGCAGTGGCCGCTTTATCAAGGCCGAGGAGGCCAGTGGCCGCGATGGCCGTTTTATCAACCAGGAGCGGCCACGCACAAGCAGTTTATCAACGGCCAAGTCGAGCCATTTTAAAGCTTCTTCCAAAGCTTCTTATGCAGCTTCTTATTCTTCTAAAGCTTCTTAGAAAGCTGCTTTTCAAGCTTCTTACAAAGCTTCTTCTAAAGCTTCTTATAA